GGGTCTATTGAGAGTCTGCTGCAAAACCCTTTTTTTTTTTTTTTTTTGTCTGGTCTAGGTCTTCTTTTTAAGTATCTGTAAGTGATTGTCTGTATGTTTCTTATTCTCCTGTTAAAATCAATAAAAATATGTTTAAAAAAAAAACAAAAAAAAACCTGAAAAGTAGCTGAAAAGTCAGAAAGAAACTTAAATTACCAGAAGGAAGTCGAGACAGCATAATTGTGCCCAATTAGGCTTAAAGAAGCAGAAATGAGCACAAATATGTAAATTATCTGAAAAAAGTAGAAATATGTAAAAAAAAATAAAAAATGAAACAGCTGAGTAGTAGCTTAAAAAGCAGAAAGAAGATTAAATTACTAGAAGGAAGTGGAGAGTGCTCAGTTGTGCCCAAATAGGCTGAAAGAAGCAGAAATAAGCACTAAAAAGTGGAAATTATATGAAAAAAACCACAGAAATTTACAAACAAACAAACAACAACAAAAAAACAACAGCTGAATAGTAGCTAAAAAAGCAGAAAGAAGCTGAAATTACCAGAAGGATGTGGGAAGAGCACATTTTGGCTGAATTAAGCTGAAAAAAGTTTAAATCAGTGCAAAAAAGGCAAAATTAGCAAAAAAATTTAAATGAGCAAAAAAACAGCTAAATAGTAGCAAGCTGAAATAGCAGAAATAGCTGAAACTTGCAGCAATAAGCTGAAATTAGCAGAAAGAAGTTACAAGAAGCAGCACAAAAATGTTGGAGTTAGCAGAAAGAATCTGAAAGGAACACAAAGTAGCTGATAAAAACAGCTGAAATTAGCTGAAAGTAGCTGAAAAAAGTTTAAATTTACACAAGGAAGGGGAAAGAAGCTGAATCAGAACAAAATGTGAAAGGAGCAGTAAAAGGTTGTAAACAGATCTAAAGATATGAAGGATGTAAAATGATCTCATTTCATTTTCTATGAGAAAATAGTGTCAGAAAAGCCTAAATATTTCAAAAAGCTAAAGTTGCACAAACACCAAAAATCATAACAGGACTGTCCTGAAAGAGCTGGACGTTTTGATATATGATTTGTTGAAATGGCACAAATTGTGGAATGAGACCGATGCCGAAAAATGTAGGAATAGTTTAAGGGATTAACATTCAAAAACACATTTATTAGTCCTTTTAAATATTTTATAGTTGTCAGCTTGTTTGCTGAAAGTAAAATCCTTCTCCAGGATGAAGTTTAACAAACAACATTACGAGGTGTTTTTCGTGTGCTTGCAACATTACTGTTGGAGTTGTCATTGGTGTTTGCATGCTGGCATGATTAATGTTGGATTTATGTCATACATTTCATGGTTTTCATACATTATGTGGAAAATTGATTTTAAAATCATTTAGCATTTACTATCATCTGCAAGTTAAAATCCATCCGTGTTGATTTTGTGGCTGATGTATCTTGTTGCGTGCAGCAATCTTTATGACACCTTCTGTGGTTTCTGGGTGAGACTTGAAATGTCCTAAAAGAATAAAGCTGCATGTTGCAAAGATGTTTCAGAGACAGTCAGCTAACAGAAAACACTAAATGTGCTGCAGAAAAATTTGTAGTAAATCCATAAATGTGCACAAAAAGGTTCTAAATTTAGAAAGCCATGTCATAAGGAGACATAGAAAATCTGGGAAACCCTGCTTGAAAAATGAGGGGGGAAAAGTAGGAGTGGTAAAATAGACAGACACAGCAGACAGATCAAAATAAATACACAAGCTGGAAGAGTCAAGTCAGTGGAAAAAGAAACAACAGAGTTAGTCGCTCAGAGAAACTAACCTTCAGTATAAGTCTGGAGTCCAACATTATGACATCGTCTCTACCACTGAATTACAGCTTTAACACATACATAGTACTAATAGATGCTGTAACAGTCATTCTGCACAGATCGTCCTTGTGTTCATATATATTCACACATTTTCAAACTACGCCTGTCGCAATAAACAATAAATGAATTAATCACACGATCAATGAAAATGATCAACCTTATTTGCATTTATCGGTTTTATCATTTCTTCGTGTCTCTGTCTCTCTGAAGACACTGGATGATAAAAAGCTAAACTCTGGTGCTCTTCACTGACCCCTCCCTTTCTCTTTAAAATCCATTTTAACCATCCAAAATTGCATTTTTGTATCGTTAAAAGCATCTAAGCTACAAGCTAAAGCTATGAGCTGAGCTACAAGCTAAACTAACAGGCTGACCATGGGAAAAAAACCTCTGTCTTGTTGAAGCTCCAAAATTCACTGTTGAAACCCGTGCCTTTGTGTAAAAAGTTTTTCTCTGCAAAAAGAAGCTGAGAACTTGTTTACTTATTTTTTATTAAAAGCTTTGTGTGACATGTTATGCTAAAGAGCTCAATCCACACCAAGCGTCCGCCATTTTGAGGACAGAAGAGAGACAACCCATGTCATGTCAAGGTGCCTCCTTCCCATTTTTCTTAAAGAGACACACTGCTCTCTCCCTCACTATCCATCCTTCGGTTCAAACAGTCTTATACTGTCATCCGGTGGTCAAATAAAAGGGATGAGAAACACAAAATAATTTAACAACCATTTTTTCTTAAATTTGACAATAATTAGTAATTAGTAATTATTGTCAAATTTCAAACAATATTATCGTTTATCGCAATAATTTCTGAGACAATTAATCGCCCAGCAATATTTGTTATCATGACAGGCTTATTTCAAACTAAACATGGGACTACCATGTCTGTTTCTGTAGGAAACCTTTAGATTTTTACTAATAGATGGAAGATTTTTAACCCTTTGAATAATCATTAAATGACATTTGTTGATACAGGTAAATAAAGTGCTTTTGCTTTATCTACAAGATAGATGAATTTGAGTTATTTTGGATTATCTGTTCAGTCGTTTACTGTAATTATGCTAATCATTTGTTTCTATTCAGTAGACTTTTTTACTAATTCTACAAATCTGCCATTTAAAGCAAGTTAAAGCAGGCTGGTTTATTGTAAATGCTCTTTATTCAGAGTCTGTATGTTTGTGTATAGAATATTGTTTACATAAAATGAAAGTTCCTTATATTGTGGCAATCTGATCCTGGTCTTTTCTATATTTTTTATAATTATGATGAAAACAATACAATATGTAGGTGGCAAAGATCTGAATCAGATGCTGCTCACATATATATGTGATTGTGAATATGTAGGAACGCTGTGTTAACTTCCTGACTGTGGATGAAGTCAAAACTCGTTTTGTGACACGCTGGATGTTGTTGCTTGTCTCGTTTGTCGTGCTCGTCTATGTTTCCCTGCTTGTGCGGTTTAGTGCATCAGAGGTGTGTGTGTCGTGGGGCAGCGCGCCGGTGGAAGGCTGCTCAGCGTGTCTTCCTGTTCCTCACAGCTCCTCGGCAACAAGCCACTCCCACAGGTTCAGACGGGAGGAGTCCACTCATTCAAGCCCCGCCCACTCAGAGCCCGTAGTTCATTCACCTCGGCGCAGTGAGTCACAGTTATATATTTTTCGGTGATATTTTAACTTTGTCTTCTTTAGCATGTAGCTTTGTTTCATTTGGGTCTACACTTGTTTAGGCACAGCTTTCCTGACTTTAAATTAAAATTGAGAAAAGTTGTGTCAAATAAATTAATACAATTTCAAGCTGTCTCAGGTGTCTGTCTTCTGCAGGTTGGCCTGTTCCTGCTCACTCCGTGGCGATCTGCGAGGGCCTGGAGGACTGGGGAGCTACGGACCTCTCTGCTATATCAGACTCGGAGGAAGAGGATCAGCCTTCACCTCTGGTGACAGTTACAGTCACAGCACATGCTCTACAACACAAAATATCCGTTATGTTTAGTTCATTGTGAGGATAAAGTTGTGATCAAATCAGCTGCTTACATAAGACAGCAAAGCTCAGCTTGACCTGTTGGTTCTCTTCATTAAAGTGGTAGGATCAGTTCAGGAGCTGCTTCGCACGGCTGCTTAGACACTAATGACACAAAACATTTTTACTGCAGGGATTAAGGCTTTTAGTTATCCTCCTTTATTTTTTTAACAAGAGAGTTTTTCACTACTTCACAATGGTCCAGCTGTGTGGTGTTTTTCCACCTGCGCCCCCACTTTGTCAGGTTTAGACTACTATGACCCATTCTATACTTAAATCTGTTTAAACAAAGGTATGAGATTGGATTTAGTTGCAATTTTTAAATTCAAATTTTAAATTTACTTTTTTCTAAGTGGGTGTGGGGGGGATGATCATGGTCACTCACAACAAAACCAATATTATTTTTGTTATATACTATATCCTGATGCATGCTCAATAATCCAGGTAGAAAAATCCAAAAAAGTTCAATCTGGTCCTCTGGACATTCTAAAAAAAACAAAAGCAAAACAAAGCAAAAAAATGTAGAAACGTTTCGTCTCTCATCCAAGAGACTTCCTCAGTCTGAGGTGCTGTTTTCAGCTCAGTCTCTTAAATAGCACCTTCTTAGAGTGGATCAACCAGTTTGCTGCTGACAACCAAAACCAGCTGATCACATGCTCAAGAAGGACCATCAGCCTAACAATGGGTCATTAGCACACTGATGGCTGTTTACTACTCACAGAGGGCTGAGTGATACTAGCAGTCACAGCATTGTAAGAGGGGGACAGTTGAACCCGGAGGCCTCCACCCCTGTTTAATGATGGACGATTTCTTTTCACAAAGATGGCCTCCTTTACTCCTCTCTCAAACCATCGTTCCTCTCTGTCCAGGATGTGAACATCTTCATCCTTGATATTTTTTTGCTTTGTTTTGCTTTTGTTTTTTTTTGAATGTCCAGAGGACCAGATTGAACTTTTTTGGATGTTATATACTATATTTCCATACCATAGTCGGCGTATAAGTCACATTTATTATGCGTCACTGCTGACCCGTCACGTTTATTTAATGGTCAAAACAGCTTCATTTCACCTGGGCAGTGCCATCCATCCATCCATCTATCATCCATCCATCGCGGCCGGAGCCGTTAGCTCTCCAGCGTTCCTCCGCCTGCACCAACTGAGTGAAGAGAGTGTGCACGGGAGGATTCGCTGTTGCAGTTCTTCAAAATTTAACAAGATTTACACTTAAAAACAATTATTTGTTTGCTCGACATTATAGCAAAGGTGTGTCTCAGTTTAACTTTTCCTTAATAAATGCACTTCAAAAAGTATATAAGTCGCTTTGGCATATAAGTCGCAGGACTGACAAATCTATGCAGAAAACTGCGACTTATACGTCGGAAAATACGTTACGTTACTGTAGATAAAATGTATAAACTGTCACCCAAGACCATACAAATGATTCTGTCAATTTTAAATTCATTTATTATTATTTTCCTTATCTATTTTTGTTTGTTTCGTTTACCTGTCCAGGTGGCGGGCAGGTACAGGGTCATGGTGGAAAGCAGCATGGCCAGCACTGATGACATCATTTTTAACTGTGGCGATGTCATCCAGCTGCTGCATGAGGACTCGTCAGGAATGTGGTAACGTACAAGAGGCACATGTTTCTGAAATCTTGGGAAAAAAAACAACAACTTATATTTGTATGCATCCTTTGTGATTGTCTATTATTGTTGTTGCCGTCCACTGTTGTCATCACTCTTTGTTAAACTTCAGGTCTCTCTCGTAAATGAGTCCTCATGGCTCAATGGGGCTAACCAGTTTAAATAAAGGTTGAATGATAAAGCAGAATGAAGATTAAAAATATATATGTTTGTCTGTTTTTCATTGTTGTTTGTTTTGTAATTTCAGGATAGTGAAGAATATCAGTCGTGGGGAGGAAGGTCGTGTTCAGCCTGAAGACTTGCACAGGATTCTGGGAGAGACCTGCTGAGAGCCAATCCAATCAGATTAGATGACCCAGCATACTTTCTTCTGTTTTTGCCTCTGGTTTGGGTCACTATTTACCCAGACATCCCACCAAACCCACAGACTCCTTATTCCACAAAGTAAAAAGAGGCATCTGACTCATACTGAAGTACATCATCCACAGACTTTTAGTTCTCAAAAGACTAAGAGAGTTTCACATCAGATGGCTATAAACCTCACTGTAAACCTTGAAGGACTGTAAAAAATGAAAGCCATTTTTGTATATTTTAGCAGTGATGCAGTAGACGATTGAAATGACAGTGAAATGATTTTATTTTCGATGTTAGATAATTTATATTTTCTTATGATGTATCACAGGAAGCGTACTGACGTGTCATCTGTGTGCCAAACAGCTACACCAAGCACTGCAGGTTCTTGTGTAAAAAAAGAGATTTATAGAGGAAAATAGCTTTATTGTGTAGAGCTGCTCCTGTAGCCGTCTTTGTTGTTAGAAGATGTGCTTCTGATGTGTGCAGAAATGGCCATGCTTAATCCATCTCTTAGTGGGGAAAAATGAACCTAGAAAGTCTTCCAGTTGCATTTACCTGGCATAAATACAATTTAAAAAGATTAAAAAATGGTTTCATGACAGGTTCTGCAGCTCACTTAGGCGGTTAAATGTAAAAAAACAATAACCTTGCTGCTCTGCGTTTATTAATTTGTTTCATGTATGGCAATAAGACCTATTATAATCAGAATATTACATTTTATATAGCCTTTCATAAAACCCAAGAATACTTTACGGGATCAGATGAAAAACAAAACACTGAAATAATAAAAGGAACAAGAGTCAGTTCAGAAACCTGAGAGGAAAAAAAAAGGTTTAAGTAGAATTTTAGCAGCTTTTTAATCTTTACAGAGACAAAGTGTTGTAAATACCAACAGGTCATAACTGCAGCTCACAGCGCTTCCAATTAATGTTGCATTCTGCAGAGCAGGCAGGCCACCCTCAGAAGACCTGAGGTTCTGGGATGGAGCGTAAGGGTGGAGGAGATCAGAGATGCTGCAGAGAAGCGTCATGCTGGGATTTGTGGATGAGACAAAAATCGTTGTAATGAACGTGGGACGTACCAGAGTGGCCAGGGTTTGGTGCTGGTGAGAACTCTTGACAGGAAAGTTTTGGACATTCTGAAGCTTTTCTGAAAGCTTCACCAACAACACTTTGTTACAGCAGTCCTAATGGGAGGAGGTGAAAACATGAAGGTTTTTGCTGTTGAGTTGACTGATGGTTGGAGTTATAAGACGTTTCTCAGTTAAAATAAATACTTTTTATAACATTTGTTGTGCAACTCAAAGTGGAGTCCAGAGTAACCCAGATGTTGCAAACCTCGTTTGATGAGCAGATTGAGTCTCCATCACATCAAAGGGACATGGCCAACCTTCTGATAACAGCATGAATGCTGATTTGTAGCCCATTTTAAATTAAAGCAGAAACACAGATTGTTATTTTTGAGTGGATCCCAGTTCAAATATTAGTTAAACTCTTCCACAGAGGACAATCCACCCACTTCATTAGAATTAAGGAATAGGAATATTCATTTAACTCAATTAATACTGTTTATTTACAAAAGTTTTGCCTTCTAAAGGGACATATGTTGAGAATAAGACCCCTCAGGGTAGCGTTGTGACCAAAGTTTTAGTTTTGTGTCCATGGACATTTCTAAAATTCTGCATTGTGGAATGTTTCTGTAAGACAGGAACTCAGTGGGAGCAGTTTCGTCTTACGGTAATGACAAATAATTATTGAATGTGACAGACTGCATGGTAACAGGTTTTGCTGCTTTTATTGATCACCGCTTTAAGAATGTAGAATCATTCACTTCATGTTTTACTTTGGTTTTTATGGTTATTATGGATTTATTTTGGAGTTTGCTGCTAAAAATCTCTGCACTTTGTCTTCTTAATGTTTCTTAGCTGCCTTTTTCATGACAATGAGATCATTTTTTGTTGTTCTTCATTCTGTAAGTGTATGCTTGCAGTACTTTTTTTTTTTTACACAAACAGGAAAACTATGTAAAGGTTCGGATACTAACGGGGGGAAAAAAAGCGTGATTTAAAACTGATATAGAGCTAAAATGATGAAAATAAATAAAATGACCAAATATTTCAATTTAGTTATTTTTAAACTGCCTTGTTGGACTTTCCATTTTGTAAAAAGGGAGCCTTAAAATAAACGTTCAGAGGCTTTAAACGTGGCAATCAGCAACAGTTAATCTTCAAAAAGACTGTAATTAATCTCAGTGCAGACAGGGTAATAGAATATTTGAAGCTGCTGCTGACAGGTTTTGTAGATAGGTTAATGTGAATATGTAAATAAAATTTAGATGCAGAATTAATTATCTAAAAAAAGAAACACTTTTTGGACAATCAGAAGATGCTTCTCAACTGTCCTGGACTAAATAACTTTATTCCTTCTGGTAGTTCAAGATACAAGATGAACTGCATAAAGATTCAAGTTTGCCATATCTAACAACTCTCTGTTGTTTAAAGGGTGTGTATCAAGTCCTCCTTAGAATTAGAAACATCTCATTACACTTTTTTTCTGAAAATGTTCTGAATATTTTTGAAGTCCACCAAGCACAGTGACATAGTTCAGTCACGTTTAGCCACATTACCTAGATCTGCTGCTTTTGCTCACTTTGCACTATTTTACTTATTTTGACTCAAAGCTTGAAATGTAATGCTTCATGTAAATGACTGTTTTCCAAAATATAAGCACATCATTATTTGATTTGATTCAACCTGGCTCGTGTGATTTATTTCAGTTTGATCTGTGTTCTGGTCAGTTGGTCCCTCAACGCAATTGATAAAATTTTCTTGATGAGAAGACAAGCTTCAGGCGAGTCGACTTGCCCTGACGACACGCACGCAGCTGGATATGCCAGTGATTCCTGGAGCGATTGGAAGGTGATGTGTCTATCTCTGCTGTCCATTGAGGATTTTGATGACACATATATAATTAGAATTATTGTTAACAGGTTTCCTGCTTTTTGGAATTGGCTGGTTTCTGGTTTATCAACAAATAAGAAAGTCGTCAGCAGCAAATTTGGCCCTGGTCAGGCTGCCTGCCTTATGTGATGGTTTGCTCCGTGCCTCGAGCACCCAGACTCAATTTGGCAGGATGGATCAGATCTCGGGGATTATTCTCAAGCATGGACCAGTGGTGTGTCCACTTAATTTGAAAGTTTGAGATCCATAAGAATCAGCAAGGTGGACATAAATCAGTAAAGTTCTGCCTGTTCCCAAAACAAATGTTTATCTGAATTCGGCTCCCCGGCTGGCCTTAACAGGCCACCTTATCTCAATTCGCCTGGAGGCTCTGTAAATTCGATGCTGTGCCCCCTCCCCGCTCACCAAGGAAGTCTGCGGACCTATCAGAGGGACCCGGCTGAATAAACATTGTGTCATCATTTCAGGACTCTTGGATTCTCTCTGGTGTCCTGGGTCGACTTCGGCACAAGAGTGTTTACGGATCTCACCAGAGGGAACTAGTTGACGCTCTCCACTCTTGTCATCTTCCCTCCTCTGAGGAATGTCTGCGTCACTATGTGCGGGGTGTTTTTTTTTTTCAATTTCCGGCTCTCTGTCCTCGGCCAAGGAGAGAGTTGGATAGGATTTTTTTTGCCTCCAAATCCTATACATGTGTCACTCTCATCACTTTTGTTTGTCTAAACAGGTCTCACTTGTAATTGAGTCTTTGAGACTCAGTGTGATTTATCTGTGTAAATAAAGGTTGGGGAAAAAAACACTAACCAGCAGGATTATCGAGGTTCCACTTTTTTACTTAACGAATCTCTTCTCAGCACAGATGCTTGCAGACTTTAATGATGACAGAGGAGCAGTTTTCAGAAGCAGTTTTACTTATAAAATATAAATGAAACAATGGTTTTTAATATTTAACCATATTTTGAGATTTTAATCCAATATTGCTTCAGATTGTCTCCCCCTCCCCCCATTATGTCTTGCCCTTTTTTTAAATCCTCCACACCTGTTTTTAATTTGGCTGATTAGCCTCTGCTTAGTTTCTTCCACACACCTGTTTCCCGTTTGTCATTTCACTCCTCAATATTTAAAACAAATACATTATTTAGGAGGGCAGCACGGTGGCGCAACTGGTAGAGCTGCTGCCTCTCAGCGAGCAGGTCCCTGGTTCAAACCCCGGTCCAGGGACCATCTGGGTGGAGTTTGCATGTTCTCTCCATGCATGCGTGGGTTTTCTCCGGGTACTCCGGTTTCCTCCCACAGACCAAAAACATGCATGTTAGGCTAATTGGTAACTCTAAATTGTCCCTAGGTGTGAGTGGGAGAGTGAATGGTTGTTTGTCTCGTTTGTCTCTATGTGGCCCTGTGATGGACTTGCGACCTGTCCAGGGTGTACCCCGCCCCTCGCACAGTGATTGCTGGACATGGACACCAGCGACCCCCGTGACCCAAAATGGAATAAACGGGTAAAGTTAATGGATGGATGAAACACACAATATAAAAGACTTTCAGAAGTCTTCTGAGAAGTATATTTTTAAGTTTTGTGAAACAAATGTGTTCAGTCAAACTTTAGTGGTATTTATTGCTTTTATTTTTCTGTACCACTAACAGTAATGTACTGGCTCTTCACAGCCAGACTTTCTGAAAAGCATCATTTGTTCACAAGACAAAAGCCTACAAAGTTGTCTGGACAAACATTTTCATTCCTTAATGACTCAGATCTGGATTTAAATTGCCTAGCTCACTGAAAATGTATCAGAAAAATAATTTCAAGCGCCCCACGTTGTTTTATACGTACCGGAAAGACATATAATTTTATGAAAAAAGGGCTTGGTCTGGGTTTTTAAGTATTCCTAAAAACAAAACACTTGTTTTAAGTCAGTGGTTTTAAATAAGGTAGCAGGAAAAATGTCAATAATTGGTGTATTCTGATGCACAGCATTCAGCTTCTACAACTTGATTTGGGATTATCAAATCCATGCTTTTACTAAACAGACAAGTTAAACTGGTGAAAAAAATCTTAGCTGTGCATCAAATTCAGCTGAAGAAATTACTGAATCTTCTGACTTATGCAAGTAAATCAGAATCGAAGGGATATTTCAATAAAGGAAAATAAAAATAAAGATAAATGTTGGATTAAGGTCATTTTTTAATTCCTAAATATACCAATCACAAAAATGATTCTTAATATATTTTATTGGAGCCAAAACTGCCAAATGTCTGAATCCAGCAGAAGAAAATCTTTGATCAAACAAACTAAACGCTGCTGTCTTTATGTTTTTATTCAGCCTTTATGATCCCTGTTGTATTACTGATCCACTTGTAGTACCGCGACACTCGCGTGTAGATACCATACTTCCCCTTCCTGGCACACTCCTCCCCCCAGCTGACGATGCCCGTCAGGAACCAGGTTCCTTTGTAACTGGTGGCAAGTGGCCCCCCACTGTCCCCCTGGCACGAATCCATCTGCCCGTGTGGATAACCGGCACAGAACATGTACCGGGTGATGTGGTCCCGGCTGCTCTGTATACACAGGGTCCGGTCCACGTGGGGGACTGACAGCTTCTGAAGCTTGCTGGCCTCGGGGCCCTGGAAACGGATCCTTCCCCAGCCGCTCACCAGGGAGTTTGTAGACCCTCTCAGGATGTTCTGTGTGAACTCTTTGGGGCCCAGGCAGATAGGACGCCTCTGGTTTGACAGCTCCACTGGAAAGGCCAGCTTCAGCAGTGCAATGTCATGGTTGTACTGGGACTTCACAGAATCATACTCGTAGTAAACATGCTGCTCTGCCACGGAGTGGTCTCTTTCTGGACCCTCATGAACAACTATATCATGTTCACCTGAAAGTAAAAAAAGTGCATTTACATTTCTCTCAGTTGAAGCCGTTAAAATATATACCGTAATTTCCAGACTATTAAGTGCAACTGAATATAAGCTGTGCCCACTAAATTTTAAAATACTTTTGGTAACACTTCATTTGAAGGGCTGTTCATAAGGCTGACATGACACTGTCATAAGAATGTCATAAGCATGACATAACACCTGTCATGAACATGATCGAGTCTTTATGAATGTTCATGACTGTCGTCATTAAGTGTCATTTGGTAAATTATGACCCTTTAATGCAAAGCTGACACTGGTCAAAATGTCTTTGTTATGACAATTTGACATTAACCAAGAAATCATAACCTGTCATAAATGTTATAACAGGTATTAATGATCAAACTTTAAAGCTAAATTACAGTAACCTGGCATTTTTTGTTATAGGCTTGACTTATAATGTCAAGTTGACATGACAAAGACATTTTGACCAGTGTCAGCTTTGCATTAAAGGTGTCATAATTTACAAGTCATGACCATTCATAAAGACTCGTTCATGTTCATGACAGTGTCATGTCAGCCTTATGAACACCCCTTCAAATAAAGTGTTACCATAATATTTTTGTACATATATAAGCCACAGTTGTGTATAAGCCATTGGTGTCCATGTTGTAACATGAGATATTTACACAGATTTAAAAAAAACTTTTAATTAAATACATACCGTTAACATACAAAAATACGTACAATAAACGCTTTTTTTCCGAACTGTGCCCGTAACAGCCTCAGAAAAACCTCATCGCACACGTCCTCAGTCTCGTTGTTGCTCTCAACGTCACTTTTGTCTCGAGGCAAATTCATGATTTGATTTAAGATTCACACTTATTTTTAAATGGCTACAAATACTTTGTTATTCCCCAACGAGGGGGAAACTCCAGCAGGATGTGCCCTCTCTGGGGGCACAATGGGGAGGAGAGAATGAGAAGTCCACCCCCTCCCTCTCCAGTGGACCAATAAAACTTGGTTTCATTGGTCCACTGTGACCTGTTCAGTAATTTCATTGGTCAGATTTTTAAAATCTTTATTTTTATAAATAGTCTCACTGAGCCACGAGGACCCACCCCCCGAGAGAGACGTATATTGGGCAACTATGTGAGTGCTCGGGTGTGATGAGGCTAAATGTTTTGGTGGCTGTTAGCCCGTCAAATCCCACGCCCCCATAAATTAGCTGCAGCATTGTATAAGCCGCGGTGTTCAAACCGTGTGAAAAAAGTAGAGTCCGGAAATTACGGTATCTACAACAAGTAAGATACTGTTCATTGATTCTCCATGGAACCTCACTTCAAGCATTTCAGTTATTGCTTTAAGACACAAACAGGAGTTTTTTTTTTTTTTTTTTTTAAACAGATAAATACAAAGGACTTGGTATTAAAGTATACAATGAGGTTTTCTTACCAACTCTGACAAAAAAATCTGTCCTTCTTTGACCCGACTTCTCCAGGCAATGGGCTGCAGTAATCACCCAGATGTCACTAATCAGAGAGCCTCCACAAAACGGCTCGGCTCTGTTCAGAGTCTCTGAGTGAGTCATCAGGGCCACCTGTAAACAAAACACCTGTGCTTTAAGAGGCTGAAGTGACAATAGTACAGAAACAAAAACTACCTCAAGCATAATGTGGGAGGAGCCAAAGTTTAGTTAGATTTTGACTTAAACATCCAACGTTCTTATTTTTATACATTACATTCTTGTGTTCTCATCACCACATCAATCTTTAGCTGCCAGCTAAGTTTCATTAATTACAAAGAAAATATTTTTAAATAAAATATACGAACAGTACTTGCAACAAACCAGAGGCCGTGTCAGTGCATTTCTTTAAAAAAAGCAGAGTCTCCTCTGGATTGAGCACCAATAATTTGACAGGATGTAGTTAAAACCTTTCAACTAAAGATGTTTCTTTCTCATAGTTTAGATGCCTTAAATAATTAAGACATGCACACACAAGAAACAAACTAACTGAACAACAAAATGGAAGAACCACAATAAAAAGCATAGAAGAATTTTCATTTCGTCCACAGTTTTCCATTTTGCATCCTGAAGCTCATTACCTGCCAAGGTATCTCTCCAGGAATGGCCTCATCACCTCCTACGATCCTCTGGTCAGAGTTCGTTTCAGCTGTAATGTTGGGGAGTTTGGAGAAACCCCATGAGAGCTCCTCTGTGGGGGGTTTAGCGTGACTTGCATCAGAACCAACATCAGCCTCAGCTCGACTTAACCTAGGACTGAAGTCCAGTTTCACTGAGCTCGCTTCATCTGTCAAAGACACGGGCAGGTCTGACACATTCACTGCAGGACTGAGTTCATAATCTGTATCCTCATCATAGTCATCAGGCTGGTTATTGTAGTCATCAGAGGAATTTTGTCTTGTTGGAGCAGAGGATGCCACCGTTGATGATTGCATTGGCATGATGGACCTGGTGATGATGCCGGAGGGCAGGACCACATGACCACAGCTGAACTGCACTGAGGGAAAATAAAACAAATACAGAAAAAAGAAATGCACTTTGGGATTTTATTTAAATTTCTATGTATCAGTCAGAGTCAGAGATTCTTTATTGTCATTCGCACCTCATGTGGTACATGTGGTGGAGCGAAATTATGTACACAGGGTCCCAGTTACATCCAACAATAAAATGTATAAGAAAAACAGTAATAACATCTAAGATATGAACTAAGAAAAACATAAACTAAATATACACTAAGCACTCATAACATAAAACATTGAACATCAGCACAAACATGAACATGAGTCTGTGAGCAGATGTGCACGCATGAACACATCAACATTGAAACAGATCAGCAGCAACATGAAACAGATCAGCAGCAACATGAAACAGATCAGCAGCAACATGATGTGATTTTTCACAGTGATTATTCTAGTTAGAGATTCATGAGTCTAACAGCCTCAGGGTAGAAGCTGTTCCTCAGTCTAGTGGTTCTACACTTAATGCTTCTCAACCTCCTTCCTGAGGGGAGTGGGGCAAAAAGTGTGTGTGCTGGGTGAGTGAGGTCCTTCATGATGCAGGTAGCCCTCTTCATGCATCTGGAGGTGTAGATGTCTGTGATGGTGGGGAGGCTGACTCTGACAGACTTCTGTGCAGCCTTCACCACTCTCTGCAATGTTATGTATGTTAAATGTAATAATACGACGAGGAGCAGTCTTTATCAAACAAACATTCTATGAAGAAAACCTATTTGGAAAGAGACGCATCCCTAAAAATTTCCATGAAACTTTTAATAAAGAGCAGTTTTCCAAACACCTGTGCGCATCTTTGAAAAACAGAAAAAACATCAATAACTTTGTTAGATTACAAATGTGTGATGGCAAGTATTTGTACTTGTTTCATCACACCATTTCCCAGACCCCACACTTCAGTGAAGAACTCAATATATTTTCATTTTTGCAAAAATATAACTTTGTCTAAACAACTAATATAACAATAATGATTCATAATTTTTTATTTATTTAATAATAATGTGTTATGTATTGTCATCATTGTATGTTCCCATACAATGGCAAAATTGGCTCTCTGCATTTAGCCCATCCACCACCGGGTGGGGCGGTGGGCAGCTATGGGGGGGGGGGGGGGGGGGGGGGGGGGGGGGCAACTGAGGATAGGGTGTCCTGTTCAGAGACACCACGAGATGTGCAATGACCGGGGATCGAGCCCAGGACTTTCGGGTCCCAAGTCGGCTGCCCTGCCCCTACACCATCTCGACCCCAATACAACATTACTCAAATGGGAAAGCATTTGTGGCAGAAAATTAGCTCATATCCCACATTTTTTCAGTTTGTGAGAGGGAATTACAACCCATTGCCACTTCCACACATTACCGTATTTTCCGTCGTATATGTCGCACTGCCCTATAAGTCACATCAGTCCAACAAGAATTTAACAAGATTAACACTTAAAAACAATTATTTGTTTGCTCGAAATTATTGTAAAGGTGTGTCTCAGTTTAACATTTCCTTAATAAATGCACTTTGATGGTCAAATCAGCTGAATTTCAAAAGCCGATATGGGGAAGTAGGCGTGCGCAGAGGGACGACTCGCTGTACATTTCTTTGAAATTTAACAAGATAAGCATCTAAAACAATTGTTACCTCGACATTATAGCAAAGGTGTGTCTCAGTTGAACTTTTACATAATAAATGCACTTCAATGGTCAAATTAGCTGCATTTCATGGGGGCGGTGCAGTGAAATGATGCTGATTTGACGGTTGCTCCAGGCGAGCTGGATGAAGGGAAGCCGATTGTGTCATTAATAGCCACTTTTACCTGCTACATGACACAACGGCATACCACACTACTCAAGTGCTATCTAGCAGCTGAAAATGGTGGTGTTCAATATTTTCAGTCAGAATGAATTAAACGGTCTTATCTCAGCCAAAAATTGGTTTATAAATATGGGAAAAATCCATAAATATGTTGCTTCGGCATATAAGTTGCAGGGCATGTAAATTACGCAAAAAAAACACGACTTGTAGGCCAAAAAATACAGTACTTTCTGCAAAAGAAATTAACAACTACATAGCTTAATGCTCTGTATAATGTATTTTTTAAATGTATTTTACCTATTGGTTCACAAGTCTTCTTGTCTGCTCCAAGTTTATAGCCTGCTGCACACTGACACACGACTCGCTGATTTTGCATCAGGCAGAAATGTGAACATCCACCATTGTTGACCGAGCACAGTTTGGTTATGTCTGTAAAAAACAATGAAATGACTTAAAACTTTCTACATAAATACATATGCACTTGTTTGTATGAATGCCAATGAAAAGAAAATACATATTTTTGTTGAATTTTTTCCTGTCCCACGCACCGGTCTCACAGTTCTTGCCGCCGAAGTTTGGTCGGCACCAGCAAATATAAGAGTTGATTCCATCTTGGCACACTCCTCCATTCTGGCAGGGTTGAGGCCTACACTGATCACCATCTACACACAAGCATGAAACTCACACACTACAAATTCTACTGTCAATTTCACTCTGAGTGTGAGAATGTGTCGTTTTCGTGTCTTACCAACATGAACAGCCCAGAATTCCATCTGAAAGAGAAACACCAACGTTAAGGACAAAACTGTTTTTGCCAACGATAGTCTTTGTTTCAAAGTAAAACAATAATACCGTACTTTGCGCCGTACAAGTCGCACCGGCATATAAGTCGCATCAGTCCAAAGAATGTCAAATAAAGTGGAAAATAAAAATCATAAATAAGTCGCTTCGCCATATAAGTTGCATCTATTATGCATCACAGCTGATGCGCCGCATTTGTTATGCGTCACCGCTGACCAACTGGAAACGTGGGCCGGTGTTGTGCAAAAAATCAATTGGCTGCCAAATGGCGGAAGCGGGAACGTGCACAGGAGGACTTTAACAAGAATTTAACAATTAACACTTAAAAACAATTATTTGTTTGCTCGACATTATAACAAAGGTGTGTCAGTTTAACTTTTCCTTAATAAATGCACTTTGATGGTCAAAACGGCTTCATTTCAAAAATCGATTCACGGCTGCAGGAGCGCGCAGAGGGAGGACTCGCTGTTGTATTTCTTTTAAAATTTAACTAACACCAAACACCTCAAGTGCCTCTAGCGGCTGCAAATAGTATTGTTCAATATTTTCCATGTCAGAATGAATGAAAGCATAAGATGTCAGTTAAAAATAGGATTATAAATATGGGAAAAAAACTTTATATTAGTCGCATCAGTGTATAAGTTGCAGGACTTGCAAATTTATGCAAAAAGCTGCGACTTATACTCCGGAAACTACGGTAATCGATATAGGATTGTTTTCACAACTTACAGTTTTCTCATCATTCTCAAACACCTCCCTGGCCTCCTCCATCGAGCAGACTTCCTCTTTGCATTCTCGCTCCAGGTTGGCCTTTTGGAAAACTTCTTCCAGATGACCACTGTTGTGCCTTCGCTGGCGATGCAGCACCATGTGTGCCGCCTGCTGGGTCACAAACACAGCTGCTGAAAGGGAAGTTAAAAAAAAAAGTAATTATTTTTTTTCTTTTATAGTACTTTGCAAATATAATGTATAACTCTGTACAAATAAATGTGCTAAAATTAGCACAAAACTTTATTTTAAACCTCAGTTTGTATGAAAAAGATCTTGGTCCACGCTCATGATTCATTCACACAATTTCTAAGGGTTAAGCTAAATGGATTATCAGTACTAGCAGAAGTGGTCAGAATGTGATAATTTTACAAATACATGACTGTTATAAGTAAGTAGTAACTTCTTTGATGCATGCTGAATAATTTAGTCCAGCTTTTACAACTGACTCCATTGTTTTAGGGCTTCTTCTTGTCCACTTTCTTCATTTTTAAAGCCCAGTATCTTGTCATGAACAATAAAAATTGAGTAGAAAATGAAGAGCAAAAAAAGGGCCAAAGTTCAAATCAAAACAATAACATGTTCTTGGAAGGAAAATATAAAAATATTAGTGATGAATAAAAACTTTGCAAAGTTCTGATGGTATTGTTTTCAATCATTTTCACATCAGCTGTTTAGAACGCTCAAATTTAGCTGAAGTTACAGTGTGCTGAGGGCAGAAGTGATTCCAAGAGATGAGTCTGACTGATGTCCAACTGAAGTATAAACAGTACTTTAAAGGGATAGTCTGGTCATTTTTGATGTTATGTTCTGTCTAATAGTTATCATGATCTTATTTCATCAGCTGAGACATCAGTCAGAGGTGAAAATTATTGCTAGGCTAATGACAGACAAACAAGTGCCAGTTTTTTATTATTGTTATTCAGGCTTTTAAAATAACTTTTATTTTAAATAAAAGGTGTGGAAAAGTGATATGTTGGCTACTAATAAGCCTTCAAGCACCATTTTTAAATTAGTTTGTTGTTTTTCTCTTAATCAAACAACATCCAGGTTACTGCACAGATGTACAGAAGCTAGTAATTATAGCTTAGCCTAGACTAGGTGACCAGATGTCTCTGATTTACGGGGACAGTCCCCATTTTGGACGACCTGTCTCCGGCTAAAGCTGTCCCTGGAAATGTTCCCAATTTTAACGTATTATGAATGAGATAATGTTGCGTGTAGACTGTCATTAGAGAAGACCTTTTCTCTATTTCTCCATACTACGTGCAGTGACTGATGTCACAGCTGGTAAGTTTTGAAGTATTGATAACTCTTAAACAAAACATCACTTCATAAATGACTGGATTATCTCTTTTACATGAGGGTTTATTGAATCCACATTTCTGGGAGCTGACCCAACCAAACAGGAAGACTCTTTCTCTTTGGATCTGTTTCTGAGCCCTGGATGTCGCTCTGCAGTTTTAAAGGCCCTGCTTTCAGCATGAAGTTAAAATGTAAATGTTCTGACACCATGTTCAGATGAAACCACTCGACCTCACATATAATCAGGTTTTTAAAGAGCTTGGCAGATATGATGCAGGTTGACCTGCTTCTGCTTAGATGAACCTACGGTGGCTGATCTCGCTGGCTTGAGAGGCTCTTTCATTTAAAGACCATGACCTCACTCAGAGGTTCATCCATTATCCTTCACTTTACTTCTCCAGCTGACTGATAAACAGCTCCCTGATATAACGTGTCTTTGATGGACTGCTGTCCAAGTTGTATGTTTTCATTTGGATATGAATTAGTTTTAACTTCTTCAAATACTCTACAGTTTGTGTGTAGTGAGTTTATTCAATTCAATTCAAAAATACTTTATTCATCCCAAAGGGAAGTTAAATGTTGTTGTAACTCATCATCCTGGTTTCACTAGAGTTGTTATAGGCAGGAAGGATCTGTTATACCAGTCTGTCTTAGAGCAGATCTGAAGAAACTGGTTGCAGATGTTGATCTACTTGGACTTGGTGGATTTTTCGGTCTTCTTGGGCAGCAGGACCACCTGAATCTTGGGTAGAACTCCTCCCTGAGTGATGGTCTCTCCTCCCAGCAGCTTGTTGAGCTTCTCGTCATTGCAGACAGCCAGCTGCAGGTGTCGGTGGATGATCCCGGTCTTCTTGTAATCACGAGCCGCTTTTCCCACCAGCTCCAGGATCTCAGCGGTCAAGTACTCAAGCACCTCCGCTTGATAGACGGGGATACATCCACAGCACCTCCTTTTTAACTCGTTTGTGATTTGGAGCTGTGGTATCATTTGAGCTTTTGAGATGTAAAAACCACCTTGTTGCCATGGTTATGCATCATAACAAATGTACAAAAGCAAAAAGGTTTCAGTAAAAATCCTTCAAGCTGCACAGCATCTGATATCAGAAGAAATAATCAACTAAAAAATAAAGCGATTTACATCCACAAAAAAGAAGAATTAAAGTTTTCAAAAGCAACATCCCAGAATGAAATTGACAGAGCTGCTCCAACATGCAGCCAGGTGCAATTTGTATCATAAGGCGTTTTATCATATATAATTGGTATATCATAAGGTGAGATGACACGAAAAGACATGAAATTTCAACTTAACTTTAACTAATTGGTTTTTATAATGTATGTGAATGCTTTTGTGCAGTGCCCTGAGATGACTTCTGTTGTGACTTGGCGCTATGTAAATAAACTGAATTGAACTGAAATCCAAAAAAAGCCAGCAGAGCCTGTGTATTTATATGCAGGACACTGTAATATTTTGAAGACAAAATATCTTTAGAACATCATGATGATGTTTAATTCCAAATCTATCGAAAATGAATGGTTTTCAGAATCAGAATAAACTTTAATGGCATTGCACCAAGATACAACGCGAACATGTACGTACAGTTGTCCGAAAGATGGGCGGCGTGCACGAAGCTGCAACTATAGAAAGCGCAGCCTTTTCTTATTCTTAATCAGAATAATATTTTTACTTAGATGAGAAAAGGGAAGAAAACATGAGGAGAGACGGTATAAAAAAAGATCTCTCACTCCGTGTCCTAGACAGGGCACGATTTGAGGCATCAAAAAAACCTACCACAGCAAAGCAACATAAACAGACGTTATAGAATAGAAACAGACTTTATTGCCCCACGGATGGGAAATTCAAGCGTATACATGTACATATAGGACGGTGAAGACATTGAATTTTTAAGGGAAAGTCGTAGCATAGTCCAGAGCCCCCCCTCTCAGCCATTGTCCAAATAAGAGGTGTCATTCATCATCAGCTCATTTGAGGCTCTGTCACATGTCCACAGCCTTGGGGGAGGGAGGGGTGAGGAGACAGTCAAAGCATCTTTGTTGTATTCAAAACATTCCAGGAGGAGTTGAGATAAGTCCGGCATCAAGGCCACAGTTTGGGCCAGGCAGAACTCATGAATTGTTGTTTCTGCCTTTTAAAGTCTCGCTGGTATATAGTCCTCTGATGGAACTCCAAAACAGCCGAATTGATCCTTTACGCCAAAAGTCGAGCTCACAGCTTCTCCAAGATTATTTCCCCTTCATGTGTGCTGCTAGAGCTAGAGTCCGCAGTCCTGATAACAGCTGCTCCAGCTCCCTGCTGCAGCTCCACAAATTCAGTCTGAGCGCTGTCGAGATTCGACACATTCACACAAATTTATAGACAATCCAGAATTCACCAGCCAAACAGCAAAATAACCATTTGTCATCATGAATCAAATTTGTTTCCGTCGAGGTAAGAGGGTCCTCCTTATGCACTGACTCCTGTCAGGAGAAGTTGATCAATTTTGTTGAGAGACCAGCTGATCCTTCCAATTAAGAGGTATGCAGAAAAAACAAAAGCAAAAAAAGAGGCTTTTTAAGGGTTCACAGGACAAATGAGTGCAGCAGGGAAGCGGGGGGGGGGGGGGGGGGTGTATTGGGACTGGGAGACACGTCTGGTTCCATCGGAGGACAGTGAGAAAGAAAAAAAAAGTTTTCAGAGAAATGTAGTGTTTTTTACATTAAATTTGACATTAGTTTTCAATTCATCATGTGTATCTAATGGGTTGACACAGTTTGTGTATTCCAGGTGCACAACACATGCCAGATATGTTTTAGGACTAAAGTTTTTTCTCATTTAATGCTTTTTCTCCAATCAAAACATATAAAAAGTCCTGGAATTGAAGACACAAAGCAGGGAAGAATTTCAGTTGATACTAATTTGTATTCTTGATATGGAATTGAAAACTATTTGTGACATCTATTGTCTGCCTGAACAAATTAAATGTCTGTCCAAAGAACATTGACGAGATAAAACTGGAAATATCTTGGAATGTAATGTATGAAGTTTAAGAACTTAAGATTGTGACCAGGCTGCTAAAACATACCCGATGAACAATGTCCTGATCACCAGACTCGTCGTGTACTTTTAAATCTCAGAACTTTGGATGTTTCTGCCCCCAATCAATAAATGCCTGATGTGTTGTTGATTACCTGAGCTTCCTTCTTGAATCTCAGCACCAAGTCCGTGGATCTGCAGTTGCAAAATGGCAATAAAAAGCTGTAAACAAACTCTGGCCATTTTGCTGTTGTCTGTCTGAGTTTGTCCCAAAAAATTAAAGCAGTTCCGGAAACACTCGTCCACCGCTCCAAAGTACAGCAACACATTGTTTACTCACCTGTGTGGCCACAGAGTGTGTGTTTGTTCTTTTACATCTCTGTGTATTCCCATGAGAGAAAATGAATGTAGAAATTGTATTAGAAGTGAAAAAAAGGTTATATAATTTACTAGCAAGTAATATTTTTTTAATTCAGAAATGGATTATATTTGATTTAATTTTTAATTTGAATGTAATCGAAATTTGACTGCTTATGACACACATTAAGTTGGTTGTGTGTGTGTGTGTGTGTACGTGCTGTAAGGTTATCAGCTGTCATTCGTGTTGATTTTATACATGATTCCTGTCCAACATGCAGCTTTTGCGACATAGCTAACGGATTATCCTGAGGGAGCAAACACAGGCAAATTCATAAAGATTCTATATTTGAACAAACAAACAAGTAAACAAACAAACAAACAAATATCCAGCGGACTGCAAAAATATTCACCGCCTTGGCATTCTTTTTTGTTGTTGTTGCTTTACAGCCTGAAATTCTATTGATTTTATGTAGATTTCTGGTACCAAATCTACACAAAATATATGTACATACACAACATTGATAGAAATATACCATAATTAGTGAATGTAGTTTAGTGAATGTAGTATATTCTTAGTTCATGATTCGGATCTTACTAATGTTTTTCTTTACTATTTGTGTTTTTGTTGGATGTAACTGGGACCCTGTGGGACTTCATTCCACCTCATGTACCACATGTGGTGTGTATGACAAATAAATCTCACTGACTGACTCTGATAATTCATTGTGGCATATCACCGTAGGCTAATCAAGGCTAACACTAACATCTGCAGCTCATCATTGGGATTTTCAGCCTTGTTAAAATGCCTATAATTATCTAGATGTCTCTGAGATTAAGTGCCTTGTCTAGACTTTTGTCCAAGTTGTGGGGCTTGAGAAATTATTATAAAACTTGTGATACTGTATTGACATATTTAAGCCTGAATATGATACATGTTAAAGAAATGTTGGAGATCCCAATGTACAAACCAACTGTATTTCAGCTGTTTTACTGATGAAGGTTGGTTTTATAGGTTTGCACAGGCACTGTATGAATATTTTGAACACAGCCTGTATTTCTCTCTCCACAATGTTGAAATATAATTTTATCAGATAATATATTAACTTAATGAAATGTCTAGATATATGTATCCTGTTTTGTTATTTAGAATAATATTGTGTTAAAACATGATCTGATTCCGTTTCCGGTAGAAAATGTACTTTTAATTACATGCCTAAAACTCCCAACATTCACGCACCCACCCATTATAGAACATACGATGGCGAGATATTATTGGTTGAAAGCTGGGCCACATGACAGAGTAGGGTTTCCCATTCATCGATGGCGGTGACTCCTCCTGGGAGGTGTGACCAAGCTCTGAAGAAGATGGGTTTTCAGTTTACACTCGGAGCCATTATTTGAAACCACATGGTGAAATGGTAATGGCCCAGGGCTGGTGATCTTTGTACTTTACATGTGGGTAAAATAAACCTTCTGAAATGGATGACAATTGTTCTTCCTCTCCCTGCTCCAGATACAGAATACATTATAATAATGTGTTTAATGACATGCTGTTGACAAAGTTGCAACCATATCAACTTGTAATTTAACAAAAAAAATTGTAATTTTGTCTTTAACATTCGAACACCACAGCATGACATCATTACATTTGTCCAATCAGCTTTCATCATCTGAAAACCTCATTTCAGATTCAGACAGCAGCGCTGAAACAAGTATCCCCGAGCAGCGAAACAACACAAGAACAGAACCTGACAGAGATGAAAGAAAAGTGACTGGACTCCCTTTTCTTCAAGATAACAGCTGAGGGTTTACAGTAAGTACTTTGTAAAATACAATATAGTTTCTTTAAACAGCATAGATAATATACTTTACTTCTTCTTCTCCTTCTTCTTTCGGCTTTCCTCTCTCTCTCATTCACACACATGTACTCTGTCTTACTATGGCTGACTTTCATTCCTCTTCTTTCAAGTGCATACCTCCACCTCTCCAAGTTCTCTTCCACCTGTTCCCTGTTCTCACCACAGATCACAATGTCAACTGCAAACATAGTCTACAGGTATTCCTGCCTGACCTCATCTGTTAATCGGTCCATCACCAGAGCAAACAAGAAGGGGCTTAGAGCTGATCCTTCATGCACTCCCACCTCCACCTTGAAGCTATCTGTCACCCCTACAGCACATCTCACCACTGTCCTGTTGTCCTCATACATGTCCTGTACCAGTTTAACATACCGGTACTTATCTGCCACTCGAGATTTCCTCATGCAATACCACACCTCCTCCCTCGGGACCCTGTCATATGCTTTTTCTAAATCCACAGACACAATGGAGTTCTTTCTGACCCTCTCTGTACTTCTCCATCAGCATCCTCAAAGCAAAGATGGCATCTGTGGTGATCTTTCTTGGCATGAAACCATACTGTTGCTCACAAATGGTCACCTCTCATCTAAGACTAGCTTCCACAACTCTCTCCCAGACCTTCTCTGTGTGATTCATCAACTTAGTTCCCCGGTAGTTGCTACAATTCTGTACATCACCCTTGTTCTTAAAAATGGGCACAAGCACACTTCTTCTCCATTCCTCATTTTCTCGCCCTTAAATATGCCATTGAATATTTTAGTCAAAAACCTCACTGTCATCTCTCCAAGACATTTCCAAACCTCCACTGGTATGTCATCAGGTCCTACTGCCTTCCCCTTCTTTATTCTTTTCAGAGCTTTCAGAACTTCACCCTCACTGATCTCCACAGTTTCTATGACCTCTACTCTTCTTTCCCTTTCATCTTCATTAATTAGCTCCTCAAAGTACTCCTTCCATCTTTCCGTCACACCCTCCTCACATTCTTATCTTTAACTAGCCTAACCTGTTGCACATCCTTTCCAGCCTGATCCCTCTGTCCTGCCAATTGGTACAAGTCCTTCTCGACCCCTTTAGTGTTCAGCCTTCCATAAAAAAAAACTCATCATATGCCTTCTGCTTTGCCTTCGCCACCTCTCTCTTTGCTCTACATTGCATCTCCCTATATTCCTGTTTCCTCTCTTCAATTTTCTCACTGTCATATTTCTTCTTGGCTAACCTCTTCCTTTGAATGGCAGCCTGCACTTCACTATTCCACCACCAGGTTTTCTTATCATTCATTCTCTGTCCAGATGACACACCAAGTACCTTTCTACCTGTCTCTCTAATTACTGTTGCTTAAAGAAAGAGATTGCTGTGGCCAATAAAAAGCTGCTGGAAAGCCACTTTTAAACAAAGATATTAATGGGGATGACTTTCAGCTACTACCACACTACAATTGAGTGTGTTGTCTGTAAAAGTGACTGAGTTACAGAAAGTTTTGTTTGCTAAAGTTGACTAGCCTGATGGCCAAAAGTTAACCAGTCACTGCTGCACTGTATATTCATTGATTTCTTTCTGAGTTTCATGCATGCAAGCACACACACACATGTACGCACGCGCACACACACACACACACACACACACACACACACACACACACGCATACACACGCACGCGCGTGCACACACACATTAGTATTTATTTCTTAGTTCATATCTTAGATCTTATTAATGCTTTTCTTTAACAATTGATACTTTTTTTGGATGTAACTGGGACCCTGTGCAATTTCGTTCCACCACATGTACCACATATGATGAGAATGACAATAAAGAAACCTTGACCTTGACACACAAACAAAAACGCTGTTGATGCATTCACGTATTAAACAGCCTCATCATCTGAATAATTAAATGTTACTGTAAAATCTCTGCAAGCAAACCAGCACCTTCTAAATATGACAGGAACAAATCAAATGGGAGGAAAGTCTTGAGCTGTCGCAGCAGTTTACTCAGTGAGGTGAAAAACAGCCGATCTTCAGGCTCAGTGTCGATGACAGTGTGATTAGAGTTTGAATTACAGCTGTGGATAAATCACTGCAACCCTCAGCCAGTTAGCTGGCACTGAACTTGCAGCTCCTTAGTAACTTCAACCATGTTGTGATTTATTGACTTAGGAGAACGAGACGAGGGAGCGTGTTATTCTTCTTTTATTTATTTGTTTTTAGATTTTATGCCGCAGCACGGTGGCGCAACTGGTAGAGCTGCTGCCTCTCAGCGAGCAGGTCCCTGGTTCAAACCCCGGTCCAGGGGCCTTTCTGAGTGGAGTTTGCATGTTCTCTCCGTGCATGCGTGGGTTTTCTCCGGGTACTCCGGTTTCCTCCCACAGTCCAAAAACATGCATGTTAGGCTGATTGGTAACTCTAAATTGTCCCTAGGTGTGAGTGAGAGAGTGAATGTTTGTTTGTCTCGTTTGTCTCTATGTGGCCCTGTGATGGACTTGCGACCCGTCCAGGGTGTACCCCGCCCCTCGCACAGTGATTGCTGGACATGGGCACCAGCGACCCCCGTGACCCGAAATGGACTAAGCGGGTAAAGAAAATGGATGGATGGATAGATTTTATGCCACTTTTTAAATTTTATCAACTTGCAAACTGAAACTTTTTTAGGGAGGACATTAATCATCAAGTTTACTGCTCATGTGGTCACACTTATAAATAAATCCCTCCTCTCTCTTCAGTGTCCTGAAAGCAGATGCTCTGTATAGTCTCTGAGCAGTGACGGGGGATTGACATCATCTCAGATGGAAATGGACGGACAGAAGCATGAAAAGTGGGTTAAAACCAGACACATCACACTAATGGGAAAGCTCACCATCAGTGCTCATAATCCTTAACAGACTGTACACTGTTGCATGATATAAGTACAATATTATTTTTATTCTTTTATTATTTGTCTCTATTAAGTGATCATCAAAATTTTGGAAAAATTGCCTTAAAGAGTTTCATTTGTGCAAAGAAAGCTTCTCAAAGCATAATATATTGGTTTGGATTTTCTTCCTCAG